AACTTCCTTTACGTGATCATGGAATATGAATGCAAAGATAAAACTTGAATATATGTTACCCTGTAAAAAAAATCAATGAAATGCTCGGTTTAATACAAAACGTGTAAAAGAGAAACTTGAACTTTTTGCTGCCTAGTGATTTTTAGGGCTATTTTTGCCATATGTTGTTCACAGCCCAAGGCTGATGTTTCTGCACGGAGTTTTTAGTGTGCTCCACTGTCACTGCATTGGGCATGCGTGAGCGAAGCCTGTGCAAGCACTAGTACATATGGAAGGCATCTAGACAGGGTTTAAAAAGCTGCACAGAGAAGAGTGATTTTTGCCAGCGTGGCATTACAGAGGTGTTTTTCACCATACAGTTATAAGGCACATCTGGAAAAATTCAGAGAAACGGACCATAGCCAAATTATAGACATGCATAATTTAATTATTTAAATAATTGAAAATTAATATGATCTTAATTGATTGCGAACAAATGTCTTTTCCTCCTTTTTGGACAGAAAAGCTTCAATTTATTAAATACTGTGAGGTGGCACAGTGGTGTGCCTTACAGTGCTCAGGCACTGGGTTCATCTGGAGTGCTATCTGCGTGGAGTTTGCATGTTCTCCCCAGATTCATGTAGGTTTCCTCCCACAGTCAATTGTTAATTGGCTTCTGGGATAACTGACCCTGGTGGGAGTGTGTGTCCTGTGATGGACAGGTGTCCCGTCCAGTGTGAACCCCACCTTGCCCCTGTTGCTTGCCGGGATAGGTTCTGGCTCCCCCACAACCCTGAATTAGATGAAGCAGTAAGAAGATGGACGGATGGATGTTGTGAGCTTATTCTGTAGGTGGAACTGGTAATTCTGTTTTCCTTCTAATTTGGAATTGGGAATTGTATGGCTTGCCTTTATGACCAGCATACCAGCATGGATGGAAAAAGGACTCTCCACTGATTCCACTGTCAGTTGACATGCTTTCATAGACCCTGAAGTAATAATAATAATAAAAATAATAATGATAATAATAATTGCTTACACTTATATAGTGCTTTTCTGGACACTTCACTCAAAGTGCTTTACAGGTAACGGGGACTCCTCTCCACCACCACCAGTGTGCAGACCCCACCTGGATGATGCAAAGGCTGCCATAGTGCAGCAGTACGCTCACCACACATCAGCTATCGTTGGGGAGAAGAACAGAGTAATGAAGTCAATTCATTGATAGGGATTATTAGGAGGCCATGATTGGTAAGGGCCAATGGGAAATTTGGCCAAGACACCGGGGTTACACTCCTACTCTTTTCGAGAAACACCTTGGGATTTTTTATTGACCACAGATAGTCAGGACCTCGGTTTTACATCTCATCCGAAGGACGGCACCTTGTTACAGTATAGTACCCCCGTCAATATACTGGGGCATTAGGACCCACGCAGACCACAGGGTGAGCGCCCCCTGCTGGCCACACTGACACCTCTTCCAGCAGCAGCCTTAGTTTTTCCCAGGAGGTCTCTCATCTAGGTACTGACCAGGCTCACAGCTACTCAGCTTCAGTGGGTTGCCAGTTGTGAGTTGCTATGGCTGATATGGCTGCTGGCCGTGTGTTACAGGAGAACTAGCATTGATTGCAGGAGCAATGCATGTCCTATTGACAACATTACAACACTTCAGAAGGTGGCCTCACCCAAGGTGCACTCTTGCATGACATGCTGAGAATTCTGTGGTTGAGTGAAGCCCAGCCAGATCTAGTGGTGCTCAGTCAGCTGTGGGGAATCGTAGTGACTGTGAGCTCCACGCTCAAACAGGCAATATGGCGAAGAGAAGGGGCTCTGTCTGCCGACACTTTCATTGGCTGAGCCACCTTAGAGCCCCTTGTCATTAGTTTTGGATTTTTTCCACCACATTTATTATGATGAAATTAATAATGAGATTTTGGGCGCTTCGCAGCTGACAATAAATGTATTATTGTATGTAATTCTGGTGTGTCAACTGTAAAGGTAATTTGTTTAATTGATTAATTAAATTGCTCTGATCTTGGATCTTTCATGATAACATTTGTGTATGAGGTATTTTACATTTTATACGCATTGTGCCATTAAAGCCTTTTGTGGAGCTTTGAATTTAAACAAGATCTTTTTGAAGCTGGGTATCAAAGTAAAAGTCATTTGTCAGGCTTGTGAATCACTAAATTAAACAATTCTTAATATTCAAATATATTTAAATTAATAATATTAACGAGAAATTATAAAACTTGATATATAACTTATTCACATTATTTGAGATTGTGATTTTTTTTTTAGAAGATTTTGTACTGTCTTTGACAAAACTAAAGAGTGGATGTGAAAATGTTGTTCAAATTTATAGGTTTAGTTGTGAAATCTTTAGTGATTGCCTGTGATTTACTGATTCTGTTGCTAATATTTTAGTTTAGTTTATCACATTTTTAAAATACCATTTTAAATACAATACTGGACTTTGTATGTACTATACTAAGGGACTTGCTGTATAGTGTGATTCTTCCATTTATTATATTTCAATTAAGAACTGTTTTATGTAAAAATGTAGCCATACATATTTTTCCTGAAAGTTGAAGGACTGAGAAAATTACTACCAAAAACACAGCACAGGAACTAGGCATCAACATGCTGTTATTCTTTATGCATATGATTAGTTATACTTTTCTGAAAGTTACTCTCTATTTTCACTGATAGGTAGTCCATTAAAAGCTATGACTTTTCAGTTTACACTAATAATGTAAGTTATAACAATTCAATTCATACTGAACTATCAAGTAGTGCAAATCAGGTAAAATAGGAATAAGTTGGGTGAGTGTATGCGCATGTGTGTGTGGGAGTGTGTGTCAGATTGCTTAGCTCTGCACTGCTAGTCTGTAAGTTTCAGTTTGTGAAACTTCTTAGAAACTAATGTTTGTTCCTCCTTCTTGGCTAGGTGTAAGAATGACCTTAAAACGTAGACGTCAGAAGGTTGCTGTTCATGTCTCAGTGGACTGATTTATAATAAACCTTGTGCCACCTCATTAACAACAAATTGTGCAAAAGGCAAAACTACACAGATGCATGTCTTTCCTGAGGGAAAAAAGCAAAACAACACAGACTGGCAAGACCCACACTTACTTAATAGGAAACTACACTCAAACACTTCCTATAGTTTATCCTTGTGGGGATTTCATATTTGAAAGTAGTGTTTAGCAACTTCAGAATTTCAGTTTAAGTAATGAAAAACCTCATTGCTCACCTTGAAAATGGGCACACCTAATAGGATTTAGTGAGCCCTTTTTTGTCTGAGAAGAATAAGCTGTCACTTTTAGGGAAGCAAAGAAAAAGCATTAATTTTCTCATGACCATGTCTAATCAGAAGTCGTGCAAGAAATATGTGAGGCTAGATTTTATGGTATTAATCTGTCAACATTTGAGGTTGAGATAGGCATACTGAAAATCATGCTTAACCTAAACTGTAGGCACTGCAGTAGAGGTTTACCTATTGTCTTCAGAGTGTCTTGCTTGTCTTTTACGATACATTGAAATACCCTCTTTATCCTCTCTGTAGCAGCACCTGACCAAAAACAACATCATGCTTAGTGGTAAAAGATCTGTATCTCAATTTCCAAGTTCGGCCCTCTTCATTAGAAGAGCCAGTGACCACATTACTGCCTCCCATGTGTGGTGAGCTCCGGAAAACCCCTTCTTACGTGTGTGTGGTTTAGCATTCAGAAGCATTTTGTGTTTTAAGAAAAAAGAGCACATATGATGTAAACTACATGCAGTAATGGTACAAACTATATTTTATTAAACTATAATAACGTAAATGAAACCATTACCTTACGCAATCTACAAGCATCTGTGGAATTGCAGCTAAATTACTGTTTTATTTGAGAGAGGTTAAACTTTATTCACTTTGTAGTCTGTGAGGTCTAAAAGTAGGTTAGTTGTCAATATCTATTATGTCTAGTTTCTTGCATTATATTTTAGAAACACTATGGGATCTTTCTGATGTTTTCTACATATTTAAAGAAAGTACAAAATCTGTTGGATTCAAGCCTTGGATTTATTTTAACACTATTGTTTTTCATTTATCCTTCATTTGTGTTTGTATTCCACCACATAAGCCAGGCACCCACTAAAATAACAAAAGAGCTCTATCTGTGATCTTTTTATGGCTTTCTTTTTTAATTTGCATACTTAAGTAAAACTTTCTTTTATGTTTCAACCCAACACAAATCTTTGTTTCCTATGATTTTAAAACACTTTGACTGAGTCTGGAGGGGAGGATTTGATTTGGTTGGCAAACAGGCAAGAGCCTGACTCTCTCTGGCCAATAAAATCTCCTCTAATGTCGGATGGCAAACACAAGCCCTCCTTTGATTGTAGCTTGATCAGAGAGGGGATTTCATTCAGCACACAAGTGTGAACCATTGCCTCTCTTGTGAACTTGTCTGGACCAACAATTTCCAGCAGTGGTGTTACAAAACGTTTTGCCCTGTACCTCCTGAACACAGAAGGATGGCCTGTCTTAAGATACTGATTGGTCCCCTTTTGCTTTTTCTTCCTACTGAGTGCTCCTTTTGCAGCTTTTAAATGGCTGTGCTATTATATGACTGAGCTTGTCTGAGGCAGTGCAGCATGGTACGAAATAGACAGCATGTACAGAGTTGATAAGAAAGGTGTCTTACCCAGAGGGAAACTGTTTGTGCTTCGTCTAAGAACCACACTTTACAGTATGTAAATGAAGCTGAGAGAGCAAGGTCCTCCTACTTACTTCCTCAGCTGGGGTCTTATTGACATCAAAGCTGACAAAAGCCAGGAGGCAGGCTTACTGAGTTGGAAAAAAAAAGACTTCAAGTTGATACTCCACCAGAGTGAAAGAAAGTGATACCTTATACTCATGATGAAGGAGCACTGTTCAAACTTCAACAGTGTGGGGCTCAGACGTTCCAGTGACACTGCTTTGGACACTATGGAGAAGCTGAAGCCTGATTACATGTCCATGTGTTTATTTGCAGAAGACTCTTATCAAAAACTGGCGATGGAAACGATGGAAGAGTTGGACTGGTGCTTAGACCAGCTTGAAACCATACAAACTTACCGATCTGTCAGCGAGATGGCCTCTAATAAGGTAGGAATTCTGAAAATCCTGCACTTATACTGATATACTGATGAGATACTGGTATTTGTTTTTGAGTAAAAAACAAAATAAAAAACACAAATTTACAGTGGCTGTTCAAATATTAAGCAAAGCATATAATGGTTCATTATATTGCATTTGCATAATAAACTTTGTCTTTATATAGTTATTGTAGTTATTGTAGCTATTGTGTGTAGTGCTGCAGTGTTTTTGTCTAAAGGAAATATCTCTAGAAAAGGCATCCATCTAAGTGAATGCTGTCAGTGATGATGTGAAAGGAAGAAAAGGAGCAGGCTTTCAATGATGAGAGAACATTTTTCAGAACTGTACTGTATGTTTTTAGTATAATAATGTATTTATTGGATGCATGTAAATGCATGTAATTCTTCTGGCTTTCCTGAAGTATTGTTAAGATAAAAGATAAAACATTATCAAAACTGTTATACATAAAATCACAAATATTCCTTTATATGCGTGAAAGGGGTTTGTTTGTTTTTCTTTACTTATACACCAAAGAAAAAGACTGATAAAAATGTTTTTTTCTATTTTATTTTGTGCCAGTTATTTACATTCCGCACTTTGTCCTGCTAATTACATGCTTCATCCCAGGACACAGAAATATCTTATATTTATAAATGTTGTGCTGTGCCTGTGCTTTTAAATAGCAGGAAACAATTTTGTTTGTTGACATCCTAACATATTCTTTTAGATGAACAAAATTAAGACATATTAATTATAGCTTTCATCGCATTCAACAGAGCATTATACTCTGAATTTTAAAGTAATGTTGCATTATATGCACACGTCAAGTATCATACAAATAATCAAGAATCAAGAATAATCAAGTTCAAGATGCACAATATTTTAAGTTTTGTTTAATGTAATCTTATTGCCTCTAGAATTTTTCTTAACAAAATAGTCTTTGTAAGATAAAAGCTTTGAAAAGTCCATAAGGTTGTTCTATTTATTGCAGTTTCTTCCCCAATGATAACATTTTCATCCATAAACGTGTACAGCCTCTTTGGATAACAGGATGTGTTTTGTTCAGAGCATGGTCAGGACTCAATAAATTCTGAGGAAAAACAGGGGCAAACAGCCGCAGCAGGATCTGGAGTGTGGCGACTGTGCAAATAGTTAGTGATTTTCCTGTTCCGTACTTCGTCTGGGTTCCTGGCTTGGCAAAACTACTGCTGAAAAAGTCCATTTCCAGACAGGGAGAAGGCAAGCCACAGCTGTTAAAAGTGTGACTCAAATTTCCTGTCTCCATCCTGATCCCTGCTTAGCCAGACTACAATGGCAGAAGAAGGGGCAAGCCTCACAGCTTGATTTTTTAGAACGTTACTAACGTCATTCGGAACAACAAAAGAACAAAATTCATGAACGCACACGCTCAAGCTGTCCTACAGCTGGACAACAGAGGAATAGATGGCTAATACAGATGTTCTACAGTATTCGAGGATGCTTTAGGAATCCAGGGTTTTCAGTTTGCTGGTGCCTCTTGGAAGAGCTCAAAAACTTTAAATGACAAAGTTTTATTTGCTTAAAAAACGTTTTGTTTGCATTAAAAGCTTAGTTTATAATATTACATTATAATATCCTAAAAACATGAATATTAAAGAGTATTTTTTTAATTAAATTAAATGGAATTGTGAGATGGTATCAATCAGAAGTATTTGCATGTACTTTTCTCATTGATCACATATCATTTAGCTTAAAATCATGGATTTTCGCAATTGCTGGAGAAGTGGTGTATTAGCATACTTGGTTCTATACTAGTTGTTATAACAGCTTGTGTAGATAAATATATAGTAATTACCTAGTCCCCGCCTATCTCCACCTTGAAAACTTTTCTGTGTTCGTACCTCATCATAAAAGTCCCAAAAAACAATATTGCATGTGTTGCATTCTGAAGAGCCTAAAGTGTGTAGTTAGGAAGACTACATAATTAAAAACTAAAATTAAGTGTGGGTAGAAGTGCTCATGCAAAATTAGTAATGTATTGTGGAAATTATGGAGTGTGCTTGAAAAAATGTAGTGTTTCTGTTCTGACCTTGTTAATACATGTAGAAGAATATAGGAGACTGGGAAACAGCTTGGAGCTATGGAGTTCTTAGGAATTATTTGAGCTGAGGAGAAACAACTGATTTTCCACCCCCCTACTCCCTTCCTATCCGCTTTCAACAGTACAAATCTAGATTTTTCTGAAATTTGTCCAAAACACACCCTTTAAACTTGCAATAACATGAGAACTTCTTGAAAACTGTCTGTCGTTTATTGTAATCGTATTACGCATACTATTTACACTTCATATTACAGGCAAACTTCTTGATAATAAAATCACAACATAACATTGAAATGGTAAAATTATTAAAAAGTTATTATTTTATAACAATGATAAAATACCATATCATTATTAATATTATCATTATCGTTATTAATATTCTCCTGTGCGTTAAAATTACAGAAGGTCAGAAGTAGACTGTAAATACAGTGAATTTTACTAATAAAATCTTATTTAGGGTTGATCTAAATTAATATTGAAAAATATTAAACTTAGTTTAGATATTGTGAGTTTTTTTAATCTGCCAAGGAGTGCAAATCACGGTGTTGCAATATGGGATTTCACCTTTCTTGAACACGAAAAGGTGTTCACCTGGGGCAGTTTAAGCGGGTTGGATATTGCCAGTAAATAGCAATCAGGTCACAGGCCTCAGTTAAAGGGTTGGCTCTAACACAAGGCGAGTGACATCTGATGCCTGAGTAGTAGCTCTGCATAGTTGAAGTGTGCAGAGTAAGTGCATGTGAGTCATTAGTGCTATCACATTTCCTAATTTCCGTCAGTTTGTACAAATCATTGCTGAACCACAGCACCAGAGCTCTTCAGCTTTTACGAAGATACTGAAGTGAACTTGGAACATTTCACTCACAAAAATGGGACTCTGTTGCTTTCAGAAGAATGAAAAAAAGTTATGGGTAGTTAACTGGTGGAAGCAGGTGAGTTCTTATGTGAACATTTTAAACTTTTTTTTACACTCCTTGCCTCTTACCAGACTATTTGAGTAAAATTTAGATATAATTATTGATAAATTCAGATAATTCATAAAGTATACTGAATTATTTTGATATTTTTCCATTTACTTAATTAATTTAACAGTTTTTTATTTACTGTGATAAACTGTTATTTTAGTATGTTATTCTTGACTGAATACTGTAGTTCCTAACCCTCAGTTTACTTTTAACCACGTTAACTGCAGCACTATAAAGTCCAATTACTTTTGTAAGAAACTAGCCAGCATTTTAGATTTATTGAGTGCTAATATAAGTTTGTTAGTTTAGTCTTGTAAGCTATGCATGGGTTAATATATTTGCAGAAATGTTGCAACACTAGTTATGCAACTGAATAGTTTGTAGTTGTTTTCATGTTTTATTTAGCTTTTCTCCAATGTTTAAGTGTGTATGTGTACGGCACCATGTGCAATGCGCTGAACAATAGCTTCTATCTTAAAGAACTAGGTGAATGTTTAGACTCGTTAACCAACATTACGCTGCTACAGTTTTTAGTCTGTGACTGTTTAGGCAACTGTGAATTGTGCTTAATTGTCATTGTTGCAGTCAGGGTATGGCAAAAGAGTTCAATTTTAAACAGTTAGCATATTTTCTGTATATGACTAAAATATTATTACACTGCAGATTTGTCTTGTTTTCCTTACACGTAAAACTTAAGGAAAGTCTGTCCTTGGTGTTATTTACAAACTACTCTTATTCTTGTTTCATACCCCATAAAAATAATTTGTAAGATAAAAGGTTTGAAGATGAATCTTGCCTGACACATGCAGGGCAGTTTGTTTCCTGTTTTTAACTTCATAATATGTTGTGAAATACTGTAGATAGTTTGATTATAGAATAAGCAGTTTAGAAAAACAGCAAGTGACATTTCATAAACGTGTATAACTTTGCTACAATTACATATTGTGAATTGAAACATAAAATGTATAGAAAATGAACATGCAAACAAGCTGGACCATAGAGGACAGATTGTTCATAAAAATCAGATGTTCTGGGTTGCCGTAGGATTTAAGTTTTAAGTCTACTTGGGGTATTTCTGAAAGTGGTTTTAAGACTTCTGTCAAGAAATTAAAACCTTATTTGTTCAATCCTCAGTAAAGCAAACAAAAATTGATGATTCAGTTTTTTTTTGTGTTCTGTTTCACAGATCCAGAATTTATTGCTATTATTATAGAGGAATGTGCACAGTGCTTTTAACAGGAAATGTGGTTGTGTATTTGAAAATCTGCCAAATCTTTCATATTCCAAATTCCCCATTGCTACATATGGTGATGGCATACCTACGTACTTGTTTGCTTCAAACTGCGAAACCAAGATGACTCACTCTGGGGAAGTGAATGCATCATTTTGTTAAATTTCTGACTTTCCCCTTGTTTGCCTGTATCTTTCAGCACAATAACTTATGTGTTGATTTTGCTTCAATTTTTTGAGAATGAAAATTTCTTTTAAAATAAGTACTTTTCACATGTTCTCATTTGTCATAGTTGTTGTAGTTGAAGTAACCCTACGCATTTCTATACATAAAACACATAATTTAAAGGGAAAACCCAGAATGGCATACACTTCACACTTTGGGAAGAGTGTGAAAAAGCAGAGGAAATGAAGTTATTTTAAATTAAGCCTTTCATTTAATTTTAACTTTACACAAACAAAACATAAAGGCCCTGGTTTGATTTTTTTCTGTTCATATTTCCTTCTTTCGCTTGAGTTCAGTTTGTTTGAAATTAGAAACCTGCAGCTTAAGGACATAGCTCCCACTGGTGGCTTAATGAAAAATGGCTGAATGGGTAGCACATGTTAAACAATACATACAGAGGTGTTATTTTCAAGGACAGAGAAATATTTGATGTGTCAATGTTTTGTTAACCTAAAATATGACCTATGACTTAAAATATGGCTTCAAGGCTTCACCACCCACTTCATCATATAACATAAGACAATATTGTGGGTGGAGGGGTGGCACTGTGGCTAAGGATCTGCACCTGTGGCTGGAAGGTTGCCAGTTCAAATCCCGCAGCCAGCAGAGGAATCCTGCTCTGATGGTCCCCTGAGCAAGGCCCTTAACTCCAACTGCTCCAGGGGTGCTGTACAATGACTAACCCTGTGCTCTGACCCCAAGCTTCTCTCCCTGTCTGTGTCTCATGGGGAGCAAGCTGGGGTATGCAAAAAGATGAATTCCTAATGCAAGAAATTGTATAGGGCTAATAAAGTGATCTTATCTTTTCTTATATTGGTAAACACTGCTTTGATGAGAGCATTCACATCAGTATTGTATTATGAAGGCTGTATGTGTACAGTATATACATATTTTGTGCAGTTAAATTTCCATGCAGTTAGAGGTGACCCATTCCCTTCCAAGCGCTATACTGTACACCAGTCGATGTACAATGGCTCAGGAAATCCTCTGAGAAACCCCCCTCCTTCCCTATTAACCCCAAGGCTTCAGAGAAGGTCATGTTGTCTGGAAACCCCTTGCATCAGCTCGATAGTGTTACCTTTCCTATTGATAGTCCACACACTCTAGAACATTTTTAATCATTTTTTTAATGCAAATTAAATATTAATAAAAAAACAGATTTGTTTTTTTTTTCTGTAAGAAAAGAAAGAACGATATGCTGTAATGTAGAGTAAGCTGCTGCTAACTGCCTTTGTGTTGTAATACAGGCTTGAAGTGATAATTGTATCACAATTTCCAGAAAAAAACCACCATAACCTAGTTTTTTAGGGTGGGGGTATATATTCAAATCTGTAATTTAATTACTTTAATATTTAGTCTAGGTTTGATATTTGACTGTCCTTAAGAAGTAAACCATTTGAAGAATGAAATTCACTCATCAGTCATTTGTAAACTTAAGCATATTTGCTGTAGCCTCAGCTGTCAGAGTGTATTAGCCTAGCATCCATTAATGAGATATTCACACAGCATTGCTCAGTGGTCCATACAAAAGAGCACACTGTGGATTCTCCCTTAAGGCACTGCAGACAAATGGCAATACATTTCGCTAGGAATTGTCGATGGTGTCACAGGCTGCAGTTCAGGCTATACAAAAGAAAACATTTTGCAAAATAACACTTTTGTCAAAAGCAGTAAACTGGTGAACAAAATTCAGTTACTTCAGTTGTACTGCACAGCTGCAGCATAAGAATAAAAAAATCACAATTAAAAAATATGTAAGATAGAGATGGCTAAATTCAGCACTGAAATCTTCTTAAAAGATAATTACAGTCACTTTGACCAGGTTTTTGTCTTTCAATGTCCTTCAAAGGTGACAACAATAAAAACATGCACAATGCCTGGAATGCAGGTATGCTGTTTATTTAAGAGAATTTAATCAGATGGAGGAATTATCAATGTACATTTCAGTGTATCCTGAAATATGATTTCAAGTCATTGACTTGACATCATTTGATTGCCATTTATCATGCACTTCTTACACAATAGTAATTTTTATGCTTTTATTATATGAAGAGGTCTTTCTGCTTTAAAATGATATTAGTGAAACTTTGCAAAGAAAGCTTTGATCTGTTTTTTTAATTCTAGGCATGCATTTTGAGAGTTGCAACGTTTCTTATTTTATCTAAATCTGCTGGTCTGTGACTGATCTTTACCTTCAAAATTTAGTTAAAAAACTTTGATTTTATAATCTCAATTTTACTGTTCTTGTCATTTTTAAGAATTGTGCAGTACATCTATTTTAGGGGTGCAAATCACACTTTCTACTAGGTTTGACAATTAATACTGTAAATGTATTAAAGTGTAACCACAAATGTATTCTTATAAAATGTTCCATACACAGGTTTCTGATGGTTTTCTAATTTCTTGAAGGGTGATACAAACCCTAATTGTATTAAGAATATATACTATTATTGATTTATTTGGACACATAGCTTGTTTTGGGAAAGACTTGGATATTGGCATATCGTGCATGTAATGATTTCTAGAAAAGCCCCTCTTAGTCAGAGGCTTAATGGAAGCATGTATAGCATGTGACTTTATCCCAGGCTCTTCAGTGATCTGTTTTGAAGGGAAACCTCACAGAAACAGCACTGGGAGGTCACATGATGCTGTTGCCATGGCGTTTAAATGTTCATTTGATTGGTACTCTGGTTCTAGACTTGGGTTTCTAGCAGTGTATACAGTTGAGGTGATGTCATTGAAAATGGTGAGAAAACCAATTATTCCCTGCTATCTACAGTACAAGAGAAAATAGCATGGTCTGCTGAAACACCAGACTCAGTGTGTTTTAAATCCAGTGACTGTGATTATATTGAAGAATCCAGTTGATGAATAGACACTGAATCGAATTATATAATTATTATGAATGTCAGTTTGCACTAAATGGAACACGTAATTACAGTACATTCACCTTTATTCATCTGTTAAGGGGGATTTTTTTCATTCAGTACATCTGCTGAGAGACCAAACAGTACAGTCAATTCTAGTCTATAATTCACAATACAAAGGTCTGGTCAAAATAATAAAGATCATTTCTAACCTCATATAATTGAGGTTCTAACCTCAAATCATATTATTATGATTATTATTGATATCAATTTCACTTTTATTTCCGACAAAATGATTAATTTATCAGAAACTAGTGGTTATGAGAAATAATGTCATACTTTTTAAAGAATTAGAAATATAGAGGGGTGAGACAGCAGAAACAACCAACAATTTCTGACTTGAAATACAGTATTAAAAAAACATTGTCTCATTTGCCTGCAAATTCATGAGCCGGGCATTCCCTTAGAGTTAGGGGCAAAAAATAAAACATTGCAATGCTTTCCATTAAAAAAATGAAGTATTCCATTCAAATAGAGTACTGCAGTGTTCAGGCTGAGAAACAGGGGACCTCCTGAATGTTTTTGCATAAATAAGTAGGGGGCTTCCTCCATTTTCTGTCAAATCATGTGTGCTTTCAGAAAATGATGTCTGGATTCTGTTGCTGGGGCTTGCAGACTAGAGGATGAGAATTTCTTTGCAGTACAGTGCATCTGAGCGAGACTAATCTGAAGAAGGAACCCCCTTTAGCCAACGAAGCATCTAAGGCTTTTCATAATTCATCAGTGTTTGCTGCTGCTGCTTCTGCTCCAAGCTAGCAAACTGTATATACTTGGATGGATACTGGCTTCTTCGTCCGATTCCTGATTTTATTATCTTGCCCTGCCACTGATTGAACACATACTGTACTGCAAAATGGAGTGCGCAAGTTGGCTGTCTGTAATACTGGATAATGGACCTATTTTGGGATTTAGAAGATTTTTGTGCCATTAAGCAGCAGGAGTATGGGGATTTGATTGTGGGATTCCTTTAACTGCGTCTTGTAATTTTGTAAAAGGAGGGCTGCTTGCTTTGCTAAAACGGGTTCCAAAATGCCTGAGGCGAACTATTTGCTGTCTGTATCTTGGGGTTACATCAAGGTGTGTACATGAGATTTTTTTCAAATTAAATTATTTTGTGTAATAGTTTGGTTACTGTAGGTCTGTGACATACTGTACAGTAAGGACTACAGGCTCTGAGGAGCCATAATGATGCTTTATGCCGTCTACTGTATCTTCACTGCAAAAACCCCATCTTGAGGGTGGCTGCAGTTTTATGTGTTGCAGACTCTAAACCTATGTTTTTAATTTCTTAAAGCTTGGTTTAAACTGTGCAATTACTTTGCAGTTGATTTTTTTAACATGACATTAATGTTTCTTTGTCAGAAATAAATCCTTCTATTGCAGTCTTTACAAAGATGAAACGAAATAAACAAATGTTTGTTTTTGTAAACTGTGCAGTATTTCATTGAAAAAGGAGAAATAACATTTAAATAAGCTAAAATGGTGTTTTTTAAGTAATAACTGTAATTTTTAATGTCGCTTTGGAATGTTAAAGAATTCAAGTGGTATTACATACATTATAAATTGACCCTAATTGGTACTGCACAATTACCCACTCTCCAAAATGCTAGACGTTTACTTATAAAACAGTTTGTAGGTTTATGTCTCCATAATAATTACCAAAAAATGTCGTTGGGCATGTTTCTAGAGGAAACCTCTGCAAATGAGCTTAGCTGTTTTGTAAAATCCAGTCAAAAACTGTACATGAATAACATGACTAACATGACTCCCCTTTTCTGTGCCTACAGTTCAAGAGAATGTTGAATCGGGAGCTGACCCACCTGTCAGAGATGAGCCGGTCAGGCAACCAGGTGTCTGAGTTCATTTCCAACACCTTCCTAGGTAACTAAGCTGTGGGATTTAACTTTCTTTTGAAACTGTATAGGTGCCTAAACATGTACTGTACAACCTTTAGAAACACAAGTACACCAAGAAATGCACATATGAAAACACAGTCAAATAGTAAAGATTTGAATAAAACCACATTTCAAGAATTTCTGACATTAATTCCAAGTATCATTTCTAGATAAGTTTAACATGAGTCAATATACATGCCACAAGAAATATGCATTTATTATGAAGCCATATCGAAGTTTATTTTTATTCAGTAGGAGATTACATGCCTTTTGCTTTTCTTATGTTACACATTTGTCAGAAAAAATAGCTGAGAACATAAAAGTATTTTGCTCAAGTCAAATAAACTGTCCCAAGATGAAGATACCAAAAAAATCCATGCCCTGATAAAAAATAAAGATGTTAATGAGTTCTTAATTCCCTTAGCTTGTTAAAATGAGCTTATTGACATTGTGAATAGGGAGAATAGATGCTGTGGGGTCATGAAACCTACCATTCGTTTTTTATTAATACAAAAGGCAATGGAGCAATGGTCGCTCACAGGAAATCAATCTTTCCCCTACTTAAGTGGCTGAGCACGTAGCATGCTGTGTTATACCGCAGTTGATTGGCACCAATGGTATTTACAGCCTTCTCTGATGGATTTCTGCATGTGGTGTTTTACTGCTCATCACCATTTATCTTAGTGAATAGAGCGTCTTGGTAGGGAGTAAAAATCAGTTACGTAGGAATTGGATAGATTATAACTCCACCCCCTTCTTTTCTTTTCTGTTTTCCAATTACGATGAGGTTTTTTAGATTGTTGTCGGAAAAGTTTGCATCTTTCCTTTAGAAAACAAGCCTCTAAGCAAGAATCTGTTGGATCTTTTCAACCAATCTTGTATCTTGTACCTTGTATCACTCAAACTATAATTGGGAGGTTGCCACTTTAACACTGCAGATATAACTGTGCCTCTGTTTCAGTCCAGTCTTATCCAGTCTGCAGGAATATTCATTTCTGCAGATCTTCCTTAGCAGTGCTGGTGGGGGGGGTTAGTGGAGACAGGAGGAGAGGAGGGGGGTCACGCATCATGTATTATGCATTAGAGGCTTGGTGGTACCCCTTGTGGAAAGTGAAACGGCAGATTCCATGACTCATACCCAATTAGTGACTGAATTGTGACAGCTTGCCTTTTATATTTTCATGTGTTCTGAAGTTGCAATGTACAGTTGTGACAGATGGGTATTCATTTCAATTTCCTCATAGACAAAAAAAAAGGGATTTGGTGCAAAATTAGCAAGAGGCTGAAACTGAGCCGTCGGGGGCCATGTTTTTTTTTCATTGTGCACTTCCCTGCAGGACTGATTTTTTTTTGTTCTAGATTGTTTTTTCAAACTCACTCCCTCGTACAGTGACGGTCCCCGTTTTTCTGCCTCAATTTCCACGCAGTAACGTATCCGGTTGTAAACCATTTTTAAAAAAACCTTGAAAGATTCAAAGATTCAAATTCAGCGTGGGTGATCGAAAATCCTTGCAAATGCAAGTACAACATTCCGCATTGCACCGCATTGTCGAAGCCACCTTCATGTGGGTCGCTGGGTTTCCTATATTTTCATTAGCAGGCTTGTGCACATACATTGCCTTTTCTTGCAATGTGGGCAGAAAAGGAAGTCTTATGATTAATATAAGCAGTGTAGATACAAAGCTTGCTGGCACTTTAAAGTTAGAATACCCCCATTTCTCCATTTCATTGAAACCGAACATATTGTACACTGCAGAACCTTCTAAAAATACCCATGCCCAAATAACACAAGTTAGCTATCAACAATTATTACTCTTCTCAGCCACCCATGTAGAAAACCTTGTGTTTAAGTTGGTCTGGCAAGACTTTTTCTTACATTTTAAAAATGTGTGGCAATTTTTAGTTTAGCTACTGAGATCAGTAACTGCCACACATTACTCATCTCCTGAAATTCAAGTTTACTTCTTGAATTATCTACATATATGCTGCCCAGTAAGTAACTAGTTTTGCTAATAACATTTTGAATTACTCTACCACTAGCATTCTCTCTCTTCAAATGTGTGCATTCTGGTATCAAAAATGGTGCATTAGAGAAGCCCTTCATTTAAATTACTGTGATTGAAAAACCAAATATAAAGAAAACCCCAGATTTATGCCACTTTGAGAACATGCTTATAAATTAATGCTTCATTCTTCATTGCCTGCCTTTGAAACACTGCAGTGTTTCAGCTCAATTACGTTTTTTTCACTGTAGTCTTTAATTAAGATGAGGGGAAATAAAACACAACCATTACCTGAATTAGAGATAATTAAATCTGCCTCACTGGAGGCAATATAATAGAAAGCAACCTAACTGGGGCATAAAAAATACGTGCCATATCGGAAGTACATCGGCGCTTCTCGATCATGAATTCACTTTATTGCCACTGAGTCACTGCAACATATTAAAAAAACTAATGAATGCAAACTGCATTTTTGTCCTAAGAAACAAAGCTAAATTATTATTTAAAAAATGTCATTTTTTAAGCAGAGCCACAGATACTGAGTATAATAAAATTGTTTTTAAGCTTGTGAAATGGAACAGCAAGGTGCTGAACATTTACTAATCCTTTAAAAAGTTGTGTAAAAAAAATAAAAAAACAAGCCATCAGAGTTTCGAAGCTAGTTCCTTCTGAGTGCTAAATGAGCAGCCCTTTTTTCCCCTCTGGTTCAGTCCAGGTGTAAGGTTTTAGTCACTTTCTGAGCACCTGGGGCATTTCATGAAGTGAAAAGCAATTGACGTCACTCAGGGAAATATGAGATGTTAAAAGAGAAGTAAAAGCTGGTTTTTAAACAAAAGATCTTTGTATCCTTCTATATAACCATAACAAAGACGAGGTTCAACCGCCCAATATAATACGATTTAGAAAGAAGCTTTTAGACAACATTTTCCTTCCTTTACTCTGTAAGCAGGTTTAAGTAGAAATGAAAGAACTTTCTAATCCCATCTGCAGCCTTAAATCTGCACCCTGTTCCCTTTTTCCTTGAAATTGGTAAATAAAGCCATATGATTTATATTTTATAGTTAAGTAATATAATCATTTTATTTTGATAAAATGCACTTTATCATTTTAAAAAATTATTCCTATAGAACAAGGTGAGAAATAAAACCCTGAAATGCTCATTGAAAAATCCTTTTCTCTCAGACAAGCAGAACGATGTGGAAATCCCTTCGCCTACATCGAAGGCCAGAGAGAAGAAGAAAAAGCAGCAGCTCATGACGCAGATCAGTGGGGTGAAGAAACTGACTCACGGCTCCAGCCTGACCAACTGCAGCATTTCAAGATTTGGAGTGAAAACAGACCAGGAGGACTTTCTTTCAAAGGTACCGTATGCCCCTTTGACTTCCAGCCCTCTGGGATTTACTGGCAGAAACCTGCTGGAATGTGACGTGAAAATCCAGTGCTTATTGCTTGCTTCTGAAGTGACCGACAACAAGACAAATATAAATCAAATAAGATGAATGGTTAGTGTAGTTCCCGAAAAATGTTTAGATGTCAATCAAGCCAAAAATGTGGAAGTGCAAAAAGAAAAGGCATAATGAAGCCATTCATAATGCATTTTGAACGTTATGAACTGTTCAAAGTGTCCTCACACAGTATTTTTAAATCTGTGAATTAAAAATGTATTTTCGAAGGCCAAAATGTAGATTTTAAAGAGTTTACATACAAGTGGACTAAACTTTACCTATAGAGTCCTGTTTCAATTTTGTGAGTTTTTTGTTTCTACAAAATACTGTAACGCATACGGCCGACATTACAGGTTGTGCAAGCCGGCTTGCAAGTGCGGTGACATCACCTCCCTTCCCTGTGAATAGCAGGGACCTCAGCATCTGGGCTGAGGGGAGATCTCCCTTTAGCTCAGCTGACTGGGTCCCTGTTGAGTGATGCCGGAGGCCCGGGTTTGAGTCCCCATTGGTGTGGGGGCCGACCCGAGGCGGCAGCGGCGAGGGTGCATACCCATGTGACCCCAAAAGCGCTACAATACTGTGCATCCTTGGTAGTTTTCATGTGAATTTTAACAATGTCATTTACTGAACGTCTGTTTTGCTCAGATACTGTAAGTAACTGATTTTGTTTTCTGCAGGAACTAGAAGATCTGAACAAGTGGGGCCTTAATATTTTCAAAGTCTCGGAATATTCACATCACAGACCTCTCACGTGCATAATGTATGCCATTTTTCAGGTCAGTACATTTTCATTTTAATTGTTACTTGTGCATGAGGTGTATCAGAGTTTCCCTATTTTGTTTTTTCATTTAGGACTGGGTGTTAAAGTGGTCTATAAAACCTTGCCTTTGAAAGTCTAGCCATTAAGCCAGGTGTGCTTTCATTTTTTAGATTTGAAAAGCCTTTTAACTCTTCCTCAGAAAAGCTAGTTCTTTTCTTTATAGCTACAAAGTCTCTGCCATTTTTTAGTTTTTGGGATATATTGGGATGTTTTCTCATTTATCATTTTATCTCACAGGAAAGAGACTTGCTGAAGACTTTCAAGATTCCTGTAGACACGTTTGTGACCTACATGATGACCTTAGAAGACCATTACCACTCGGACGTGGCGTATCATAACAGCCTCCACGCTGCTGATGTAGCTCAGTCAACCCACATTCTTCTCTCAACACCGGCTTTAGATGTAAGTACTTCTTGTTGCGGGTCTTCTCAATGAGTCTGGATTTGTAGTTCCAAACTGAAAAGAGCAAAGGTAGTTTTTTATTCTATTCATACTTGAGGAATAAAAAAAATACTTAATTTTATTATTTTATAAGGACTAGGCATTACTGGAGGCTTTTCCCTAAATCAATTATTGTGTCTTTTTGTGTTATTAGAATGCACATCAAATTAAAGTACACATTTCTGATATTTTCAAGTCTGATTATTCCACTTCAACTGCTTCATTGTCTTCATTTGCAGATCAATTGATCTGTAAACTGTTTATGAAACCTAGCTTCAAAAAATAATGTTACTAATTTATAACATGTAACATGTTCATCGTATAACCTTTAGCCTTATAGACCATGCCTCTTTGATTTACATTAGTATTTGCAACTCATCCTGTGATCTTTAAAAAACCTAAACATGTTCTGAAACTGCCTTTAGGTCTAAACCCATTACCTTCAATGAATGAGCTTTTTCTTGCAAAGCTGACTGGACTCCTTTCCTTTCACATTTCAGGCAGTTTTCACGGATCTGGAAATCCTTGCTGCAATCTTTGCTGCTGCCATTCATGACGTGGATCACCCAGGTGTCTCCAATCAATTCTTGATTAATACCAGTGAGTATTTTTCCATGCCCCCCTCTGTTTTGACTGGCAGGTTAAAATGTACGGACCAGGAGTTCAAGCTGGATATTCGATGCCTCAGTTTTCTGTCCTCTGTTAGTTTGCCAGGTTCTCTTAGTCTGTCACGTCAGTCTCATTTCTGAATTTGAATTTGAATTTGGATTTGTGTTTTCAGACTCTGAGCTGGCCTTGATGTACAATGATGAATCAGTGTTGGAAAACCACCATCTTGCAGTGGGTTTTAAACTGCTCCAGGAGGACAACTGTGACATCTTCCAGAACCTGAACAAGAAACAGCGGCAATCATTAAGAAAAATGGTCATTGATATGGTAAGAGTACATTCTGAACATACTATGCTTTTAGTAGAAAGTCATCTAAATTGTTTTAAAGAAAACTATAATATAAAAATTATATATTATATTAGCAGTAGCAGCATGATTAGTACTAATTCAGATGTTGGTTCAGGTGCCATTTATTTTGTTTTATGTCCCTGCAACATTTCTCTCGGTTCCTCCCGCCCAAAAAAGGCTCAGCAGTCAAAACATTGTATTTTTTTCTTTCTCCTTTTCAGAACAGAATGAACTCGCTTGTTCCAGTTTGGGTTTTGTCAATATTTATGTTTTTCTATATTCTTTTTCCCAGGTATTGGCAACTGACATGTCCAAGCACATGAGCTTACTGGCAGACTTGAAGACCATGGTGGAGACTAAGAAAGTCACAAGTTCGGGAGTTCTGTTGCTTGACAACTACACAGATAGAATACAGGTACCAGTATGAAGCATTGTGTCTGTGCAATAAAATCGGAATTAGGATGGGTGTAATAATAGGTTGTACCAATTTATATAAATTTGAGCTTTCCTACTGGTAGTAATCGATCTAAATTGTCAAAGGTTATGCTGATCCTCTGTTGCTTGTATATTAGCTAATGGATCTAATTATTGGAACATCTAGAGTGAAGTCAGTTCAAACTCATTATTGTGACAATGAGCAAGCACTTATTTGATATCATGTTTTCAGTTGTCACTCATTGTCTTTATGTGATTAAAACTAGGTGCTCCGTAACATGGTGCACTGCGCAGACCTCAGCAATCCCACCAAATCTCTGGAGCTGTACAGACAGTGGACTGACAGGATCATGGAAGAGTTTTTCCACCAGGGTGACAAAGAGAGGGAAAGAGGAATGGAGATCAGTCCTATGTGTGACAAGCACACAGCTTCAGTGGAGAAGTCACAGGTGAGTCACTGGCAACCGAGCACTTCAGTACTCTGAAGTACTGAAGTTAACCTTATTAATAAGGACCTTAATAAGGAAACTTAATAAACAATTCCAGTCCTTTATTTAAAGTAATCATTTGAAATCTGTGAAACTGTAAATTGTCTTTGAGTCCTAAATATGTAAACACACAGAAGCACTGAATGATGCATTCATTGGCTGAGTTGTAGAAGAACAAGCAGGAAATAGAAAGTTTGTGTTGGCAGCCAAATCCTCACTCATTTATTACTTTCTTTGCAGGTTGGGTTTATTGACTACATTGTCCACCCTCTTTGGGAGACTTGGGCAGATCTTGTCCACCCAGATGCACAAGACATTCTGGACACGTTAGAAGACAACAGGAACTGGTATCAGAGCATGATTCCCCAAAGCCCTTCCCCTCCCTTTTATGAGCAGGACAAAGACAATCATGGCACTGGAGACAAGTTTCAGTTTGAACTGACGTTGGAGGAAGAGGACTCTGAGGGGACAGAGAAAGATGAAAACAGCCAGGGGGAGGACAGTATCAGCAATGCCAAGTCTCCTTTGGGATACGAGGATTGCCTGGAAATGGAGGGGCAGATGGGAGCCACACACATAGAGATAGTTACACACGATGCGTCACCAGTGGACACATAATATTAGCCACGAGCTTACGGGGTCATTGTATTTGCAGATTGTTTGAAGGAGAAATCCTACAATCTCGCTTTTAAAGCCTGGGGCTAACTTTGGTAAGGAGGAGGATTCCTCGAACTTGCATTTGGAGTCGAGGTTCGTCAGACAAGCGGAAAGATGAAGGAGCTCTCAGGAATTTTCTTCAGAAAAATGGACCTGATTATCAAGCAATGTTTTGTTACAAACAGACATGGTATTGAAGGATTGGGGCCAACTAGGAATGTTTACTGGACAAGCATTGAAATGCTGACACTACTGAGAGATTTTTGTACCATCATTTTTTGTAATAGAATGTCAAGAGGTAGCAAATGAACTACTGATATACAGTACAGGTATTTGTAAAGCAAATCGTTAACTTTTCTGTAACATCTGTCTAAGGACTTTGTGTGCCTTTTTTACAATTTTGTCTTTTTAAAGTTTTTTTTTAATTTATTAAATGCAATTTATTAATAGTCGTAAAAAGTTTTTCTAAAAACAGAAAGCTCAAGAGAAGAATCTTTTTTTTCTCAGATTAAGAGAATGCAAAGTCTTCCTTCTTCCTGACATTGGGCAATATCTGACCTTACAAAAACACTGGCTTCTTGAACAGGCTGTCACAACAGATCATTTATTCCCACAGAAGAGCTGCTTTGGACATCTATGTGTTAGTCACTCATCCCAGGTGGATATTATGTTTTAGTTTGAACACAGTTTTAATTTTGATACATAATAAAATTATTCGAATAAGTATTTACTCACCTCCCACTAGATGATAAAACAATACATCCTTGTATATCACACAATCCACTGTAAAATAAAAATGGACAGATGCTTATAACATGTAACTAAAAGGTATTATTTAAGCTTTGTACCCTATTTTAATCACATTATTGTTTTATCTGTATATATATTTAAGAGTACATTTCATTATTTAAAATACAGTGTTCACCCGTGAACACAAATCACAAATCAGTTGAAATCCTGATAATGATCCAACATTTTAACACAGAAGACAAAAAAATTGGTGTTAATGTACTATTATAATATATATTATAAAAGTACTTTGGGAGTGTATGAGGTTATTGCTTCATATACATTTTACTAAATCATTACGCAGGTCAGAAATATTTTACATGAGAAGCATTCATTTCTACTTTATGTATTATCAAAGTTTTAAAATAATCATTATGTGACATTTGAATCTTAGTAAAATAAATATTTCTAATTATAAATTATACTAAATGTGTTTAAACCTCCACTAGTACCATTAAACTCCTTAGGTCTTAAAATAATGTTTCCCTGCAGAATTATTAAACCGTTTTATGTTCAAGACATCAGACTGACCTAACACCTTTATATGAGATCAGTCTGAGATGATCGATTTATCAAGTTTGATCAATTTATCAAAAGCATTTTTTCGTTTTGAAAACAAAATCGGGTGTCACTTCTGTCTGTGTGACTGTCTCATTGTCAGGATTTGATTTGAATACACTATCCAAAACTTTATAACAATCTGTTGCAACAAACAAAACACTACCAAAAATGACTGATGTACTGTGTGATAATGTACTAGTCAAAAAGTTAGAGATATTGAAATATCCTGGTATGGGCTGGCATTACCAACATAACCTAAGCTTTGTCTGGATTTAAACTATATTGGGAACTAGCTCCTATATATACATATATACATGTATATATACACACATGAAGTACTGTATGTAAATTCCCTGATCTGAGGTTCATTTAGTACTTTTATAAATATGATAAATCAATTTGTTTTGTAGTGGTGAAAAGGTAGTCTTTTCCCTTGTGAGTGTCCTCAGAGGTACTTAAACTGCAATATCTTCTACCTTTCAGATTATTACATGTCGTGACAGGTCTAGTCTAGTTTAGTTTATTTAAAAACATTGCCAGAAATACATTAACACACGGGCATATTTTGTATGTTTCGGTCATATTTATCGTATGTTTCAGCTTGAAGGATAAATATCTTAGTTGCACCATCCCTTGTTCTGCATTGCACCTGAGCTCGTGTTGGTCCTTTGCTGTTTATAACAGTGTATTTATTACTTTTGTGTACATAATATAATGTTAATTGTAAATTAATTTTAATTTATATGCATTAACATTGCCTGGATGGGGTAGTGTTAAGGTGTAGAAGACTCCTTGTTAGAGTCGAGGTTTTTTCCAGTAATATTTTTTGATTTTTATTGCACAACTTTGAGAGCCCTGAACAGTAGCTAAAAGAGACATACGGAACCCATGGGTGACACGAAGGACTTGTGGATCTGCAATGAATATGAAAAACTGACTCGGTGAATTCTCTGTATTCTGACGTCATATAAAAAGTATTTCAACGCTTGCAGGACCTTAACTCTAATTATACCGCATTTTGAATGCAGATTGCTGATAAAGTTTCAGACAAACAAGGTTCAAGGAACAAAAAAATGTCTCCATTAAAAACACTTTATGTTAATTAGATTAAGGGAGATATTGATGGCATGTTACAATCTCTCTAAACACCAATGTGAATTGATATGAATTACAAAATGTGATCTTATGTAATTATTGTGCTAATGTGAACTATTTTCTGACCAAACTTGTTAGCAGTTTTGAAATTCAAATTGTCCGTATAACATTGTAATCTATGTTAAGCTTTTGGTCCAAATTGTGTCCAAATGGTTAGCCAGAATAGCACTATCTGCATGACCAATGGGTTTGTATGTCTGTTGAACACTGCATTGTTCCAGGTGGATATTTTAATGTTTTCAAGCGTTTCACACAATGTATGGTATAGTATTGTATATTGTGTTCAACAAAATCTTAAATACTTTTCTATGAAGTGATTAAAAGGAAGCATGAATATATTTATTTTTGTGTGGATCTTTTTCTTTGTTTTAACATCAAAGTTATTTACGGTTAAACCAAAAATTAACAGCTTTTTTGCCTAGAAAAAAAACATTCAAAGGTTTGACATACTGTATTTATAAACTTAATTTCCTTAGAGTTCACCTAAATGTTGAAACCAGCTTGTTCCTACTGCACACAAAGTTCTGCAATTTCCAAATGTTCTTCTGAAATATGTGTAGGAAATATTGCAATCATGCTTTTCTGCTCACTTTATATGACTTTTCTTCCTTGAGATTGAGGTTTTCTTAACCGATTAAGTTAATGACAGAGAAATCAGATAAGCTACAGTACACAAGACATTTGTAGGAGGCCCCACAGTTCTATGCACAAGGATGGGAAGTGGTTGTGATACAAGTAATATCTAACAAAACCAGAAGTATACCACACACCTAACACATTTTCACTTTGCTGTTATTGTTTGCTAATTTGTGGCTTAAAAGTTTCCAATTGTAGACATCTTAAGTTCTCCAGGGAATAAGGAAGCTGCAGTAAGTGATTCATTGTTATGCGTCAGACACAAATAATTAGTTAGCAGAGAAAGATCATGAATGGAAATGATTTGGTAAAACAATGCATCATACAGTCAAGATCTTAGGTCTTGAGCATCAACATGTTATTTCTGAGGATGTGTGAACTTGTGAATATCCATATATGTGATTAAAGAGAATGGAAAGGCTATAGAACAGAAGTGTCACACTCAGTTCCTGGAGGACTTTTGTGCCAGTCAATTAAACAAGTTCTTTGAAATATATATTTTTTTTCTTAAAGAGGTTAATTGTTGATGACTGCAAACCCACTTCATTGTAGGTACAGCTATAAATAAAATGCCTTGAAACCAGGTTAGTTGTAATAATAATTGCTTACACTTATATAGTGCTTTTTCTGGACACTCCACTCAAAGCGCTTTACAGGTAATGGGGACTCCCCTCCACCACCACCAATGTGCAGCATCCACCTGGATGATGCGACGGCAGCCATAGTGCGCCAGAACGCTCACCACACATCAGCTATCAGTGGGGAGGAGAGCAGAGTAATGAAGCCAATTCACAGAGGGGGATTGTTAGGAGGCCATGATTGATAACAGCCGATGGGGAAATTTGGCCAGGATGCCGGGGTTACACCCCTACTCTTTTCAAGAAACAGCCTGGGATTTTTAATGACCACAGAGAGTCAGGACCTCGGTTTTACGTCTCATCCGAAGGACGGCGCCTGTTTACAGTATAGTGTCCCCGTCACTACACTGGGGCATTAGGACCCACATGGACTGAAGGGTGAGCGCCCCCTGCTGGCCCCACTAACTCCTCTTCCAGCAGCAACCTTAGTTTTTCCCCGGAGGTCTCCCATCCAGGTACTGACCAGGCTCACACCTGCTTAGCTTCAGTGGGTTGCCAGTTGTGAGTTGCAGGGTGATATGGCTGCTGGCCAGTTGTATGCATTTATATACAGCTAATTAAATAAGAGAAACAATATAATTTTAGAGTGGTACAGTACCAAAACCTGGACACACCAAGCCCTCCAGGAATTTGAACTGAATCTGAGATCCTTGTTTTTGAAAGATTGGGCTTGTTTAGAGTGTTTAACAAAAGGCAGGTCTGCCAACCTGTTTTGAAAGAAGAATAATACTAAAGTACAGTATATAGGATTATAGTATAATACTAAGAATATTATAGGTTGCGTAAAATAAGCAATGTATAACAGATTGCTTATACTGTAAATGGGTACTAATTAAGCAAATGATCAGTTGAAGTAAATAATTTTGATAACTGAAACGAGAAACTCTCCAAGACCAGGATTAATCTCCAGTTTACAGAATGAGCAATTGCAGAGTTCTCTAGCCCTGGATATCCTTGTTTTTATTTTAAGCAAGGTCCCAGTTTCTTAAGTGGACTACTCAAGTGGACTGTCTTTATAAAGCCTGTTCATGTCTTTTCCATTTACAGCTGTTACTGTGACTTCCTAAGAAAAGAGGCCAAATTTGAGCACTGCTGGAGTTAGTAATAGGTTTATTCCAAGGTGAAAAGAGAAGAAAGAAAATACAACATTTGAAGGCTCCACAGCCGAAACGTTGTGTTTTCTTTCTTCTCTTTTCAGCATGGAATAAACCTATTACTTGTTCCTTTGCGGCCTACGCATGCTGACGCAGCTACCCACCTGAACTACTGCTGGAGTTAGATGGGCTTTACTCTGCCAATGCATGAAAGCCCTAAAAAACTTTGAGCCCACACACAATTACTAACCATCCATTTTCAATAAAAATAGTAGTTACTACTACTGTATTTGTAGTAACAAATACAGTATGTGGTTCAATACATAACTGCTGTGCGCCACTTTCTACCTCAGCAAACAGGGCAGAAAGAAGGAAAATACTGTACATCCTGGACATGGTGCCTGTCCATCACATGTCACAGACACATACAGGGGACAATTTTGAGATGCAGATCAACCTAGACAGTATGTCTTTGGACTGTGGGAGAAATTAGGAGCACCAGGAGAAAACTCAATTTGCCATGGGAAAAACACTTTCTACACAGAAGGCACCCCAGACCGACTCAAGAGCTTAAGGAAATAGTACTATCAAACACTCCACCATTATGCTCAACTATTAATATGTCAAATATAAATAAAACCTAAAAAGCAATGGCCTAGTTAACCTAAAACGTTTGTTTTTATTTGTTACAAAGCATGTCAAAGTAATGTAATTCCTTTCCTTTTATCTTGGAGTTCAAAGAATTGTAGTGTTTACTGTATATTTTGACACAGAGCCTCTTTTTCCATTACAGTCTGAGGGGTTCCTAGTTGGTTGGTGATCCGTTTACAAAACACCAAAGGACTGTGTAGTCCTTTGAACTTACCTGTTCAAGTGTGGAAACACAAATTAAAAGTAATTGTGGAAAGATTATGTGTATATTGTAATCCCCATGGATAAGGGCACCTTCATTACAGTGTTAAAGGAGAAAAGTGTCTTTGCTATGAATATACAAGAGCTTACATTTGACAGTATCCAAGAACTTCACCTGGGCCCTTTCTTGAAAGGAGTCCAGGTTTTAGCTTCAAAAACATGGCTGGGAAGCTTTATCCATACGCCATACCTACCAGTTCTAACCAGCATGCACATACAAAAGTTGTAAACAGATCTTTCTGAAGTACAACTGGCATATCAAGGTTTGTTTAAAGCATACTAAGAATATTGATGTGGGGCTTGAGTATCAAATGGAAGTTGTAGAAAATTGATTCCAAGGAAAAGTAACATGATCGAAAGCACCTTGAGGTAAGAGTATTAACCTTGGAAATTAAAGCAGTGAGTCAGTTGCGTTATGTTCGTTCAGTTCTATTTTGGTTTCAGACATATTAGGAGATCAGTTTGCAAAAGCATTTTCTCCCCAGGAAGCAGACGGTTGAAAATGAGTTGACTTCATGTAATAAAAGTCTAAATGGCATATTGTAGTCAACACATTGATGCAGGAGAAATCATTATAATATTAAAAGACTCTAAAATAAAATCATTTTTCTCACATGAATAACTTTCATTATTTTCTGTGTTTTTTGGTTTTTAGTATTAAAATGACCTTTTTTTTTTACACTAATGTATATTTTTCTTAATGGTTTGGAAAAACAAATTTAAACAAATTGCTTTTTTTCTAGCACTGATTCATAGAGAAATCTAGCTGCACATTTCACCTTTAACTTTACGTGATTCTACAGTATGGTCTACTAATAAGAGACATCAGGAAACAAATTCACCTTAGTACAGGTATGAAACCAAGTATTGTATTTTTAAGGGATCTAGTGCTAAATCCTTAGGAACATTTTTTGTACAATTCGTCATTTAAACATGATTCAAGACTAAAGGCAAATATTTTGCATTGATTTTCTTAAGTAAAACTGTATTGCTTGCTACTTTGCTTAGGTAATTTATCATGGTGTTCTGAATACTGCCTTTGTTTTGCCTTTTAGGTAGACATTACAGCAAAACAGTTCAAAATGTACAAAAGTTGTGTTTTTTCAAAGTGTGGTATTTTGGAGTAAATTACAAATTTACAACAATCTGTATTTGACAAATCAAAAATCTAGAAAAGTATGTGATGAGAAAATTCCAAAGACGCAGTGAAAAAAAAAAAGTTTGTACCTGAGTGGCCTGACAGGGCCAGATTCAGAATGGCTGTTTTGTGATACGCATTGGCTTCAGATGCTGTTAGCGTTCCCAAATGAGGATCTAAAAAGAATAATAAATTATTGCCCACTCCTTTGCTGTGGGAGCTATGCAACAGCAACAATCACTGCTGCTCCATCCATCCATTTTCTAACTGCTTCATCCAGTTTAGGATCACTGGAGGACTTGAGCCTATGCTGGCAAGTTATAGGCACAGGGTAGGGTAAACCCTGGACAGGACAGCAGTCCATTGCAGAGCAGACACAAGCACAGACACGCACACATTCACACCAGGGCCAGTTTTCCCAGTAGCCAACTGACCTCCCAGTCTGATTTTGGACTGAGAAAAAACTGGAGCACCTGGAGGTTCCCATATGATCACGGGGAGAACATTCAGACTTCACACAGATACAGTAGCACCCCAGGTCCGGAACCATGCATAACCACCCCACAAGTCAACATATGATGTTTCACTGTAATACAATGAAATTTCAGGAAGAGGTCTTCCAGCCTACCAAATACATCTCCGGTGGAGATATTAATCATATGACATATGACAGTGAGCATAAAAATATCTGTCTCAAAAATATTCTATTATTTAAAGATTTCTGGTACTATTGGGCAGATACATTTCTTATATGAATTGTACAATTATACAATTCTCCAAGTGTTATGCAAGCTGTCACTTGCTTCATTACAACTTTAGTCAAACATTACAAATACTGATAGATGAGGAAAACACAGACATGACTTATAAAACACCATGTCAAAAACAGCAGCACCTTCTTTGCTTTGTTGTCCTGGATAGAAA